CCCCAAAACCCCAAAACCCCAAAACCCCAAAACCCTTATTCGAAATAGAAATTTATAATTATAAATGGAGCCCTCAATAAGCTCATCAGATGAGCAAAGAAAGCTTTTGAGTGAAGAAGGCAAAAGAAAAGATTTCATTGAAACTAGGATAGATTTTATCCATGACAGTTGCGAAAAGATCTTAAAACGTGGATATATTAAGTATGGTAAGTAGTGCATTTCTAAATCCTGCTTTAGATTGTAGCAATATCTATAACAAATACAATAAACTTCGGAAACCTAGTGATAGACTTAACAGAATGTGAGTCGTGTTTCATAAAAATTCAACTTGGTCACTCAAGAAATCTCTGAAGCATTTCATCAGATACCCCCTTGAAGAACTTGTTATTTGAGGAAGTTCAAAGTTTAGGAATGAGAAAATCTCAAGACTTCTACCAAAGATGATCAAAATCCTACCCGATGTTACAGCTGAATGTGTCTTCAATAATTTATTGTTATCTGAGAAAGATCTGCTGCACATATTCTGTAATCTCACCTCGGGATGTCAACTTAGATTTGGAAATTGAAGGTTGGCTCAAATAAGAAAGAGAGATCTTTACAGGGAGCCATCAATAAGCAAGCTTTTTTTATATAGGTGTTATTCTTTTGATGAAATGCTCTTTGATCTAGAGAATTCGAGTTTTATAAGTCTGGTCCAGCTGATATCAGACTCATCTTCTAACTTCGGATTGTCTGAGATTCGAATTGAACCTAACTTTACAACCGATGATATCACAAAACTGAAGGAAAGAATTGATCTTGGAGAAATTAAGTTTGACATAGGATAATTATTTGTAAAAGCAAAATTATTTTGGTTTTTTTGGTCAGTTTAGGGCATAAACGATGATTTAGACGTAATATATGATGCTTCAGGGTTGAAAATAGTGATCTTAGATATCAATATGTGATTTTAGATATAAGAGCTAGATGACGGAATATGAAAATTTTAAAATTTAATGCAAAGTTGAAACCAATTTATATAAAGTGAAAATTCCTGCCCTAGTAATCATAAATTAAAAGCGTTTTTGATTAATCATGGTTATTGTTCTAAACTTATAATGGTGATAGAAACATAATTTTTAAGTTTTTAGCATAATACTTCAGACCAAAAATTTTATTTTGTGCCAAATTTAAGAAAGGTTCCTACCAGATTTTGTTTGTAAAGATCCAAGGAGATTAGAAAATCCAAGTTTAAGCTTTCTATATGGCTAAAATTTCTACTTCATATAGCCTTTCGATTTATATAGCCCTCCTAATAGTTCAATCTAAGATTGAATTTGAGGGGTTTTGGGGTTTTGGGGTTTTGGGG